CCAGATGTTTTGCCAGCTGCCTATCAATGCTGCCATCTTTGCTAAATGGTAATGTGTCAGTATGATGCTATGTACAGTTATAACTATGAGGTATCACGTTTAAATTTTCTAACACTGCAAGCATTCCGCAGTGAGTACCTAATCATGTTTACAGCTAGCATCATAAACTCTCAGATTAGCATTCTGAGCAAGGGCTGGACTACGCAGAAAGATTTTATAAAGCAAAAAGAGATCTGTAAGTTATCCTTAAAGCGAATCAGTAGATGCATTAGAGTGATCAGAAACCAGTGCTTTAAAATGTAAATAAAAACTTTGGTGCCATTAAATATATAAAAACTGTGGACATAACAATCTTGGTAGTATGATATTTAGATAAAGAACAATGTCTAGAAAACATGATCTACATTTATAGGAAAGCATTCTGTTAATTAAGGGTAGTTATGAAACAATCAGAAATGACTGTTAGCATATCTGGCAACATCTTACCAATGATAAAAAGACAGTAGACATGAATGAATGGGCCTGGCAGTTATAAATTAAGTCTGATCTTGTAATTGGTCCAACACTGTTAGCTTTTATACTATCCTTTTCCCTTAAAGGTATACTTAACAGGTAAACATTAGAGGTCTGATTCAATGGCGACTGAAACAATATTTTTGTATATGACTTCAATGACTGCTCCACATAGTGTTTAGTCTTCCCTAAAAGCTAAAGCAACTCCAGTTATCATAGCTCTTAGCTAAAATTGGTGCAGCCTGAAGCACTGATGCATAAACAGGAAATGTGATGGTGTGTGCAATAAAAAATGTAGCAATATGATGAAAATGTGATGGTTTGTGGAAAGTATTTGTCGTAAGAATTTGTTGTAAGCCAATGCATTATTTATACAGGAAATAATTTGAAATAGGTGAGCAGAAATGGTGACCTAGCAACCAATATTAAAAGGGAGAGAAATATCTGGGGAAAAAAGGAGGAGAAATAGTAGCCTTATCAATGCTGCCAGAATTATAATATCTCTAAAATAAACTCAGATTTCCTGAGTACCAAAAAAGGCTTTAAAACATTTTTATTTTGTTCCATAGATAAGCTATTTCTGTTTTTTACCACTTTTCTTCCCATGCTAAAAGTTTTGAAAGAGTTAAAGTACTTCACAGTCTCAACACTCGAGGAAAGAGCTCTGTAGACCACATCTCCCTCCATACTCCTAAAATTGCAGAAAGAATTAGTAATTTTTGATCTGCTGACAGTGTTCAGCCCTCCAGTCTAAGTCTGTGGGAAGCATTCAGCACCACCTAGAATATGTAACTGTAATTTTTTTCCATTAATATTCTACACTTAATGAAGTTGCTAGAAATTTCTGGAAAGTTTCTGATTCCCATTCAGGACATAATCAGCACATACTTACCACTAAATCTAGGGAATAACAATCCACATAATAGTTTTGTATATGTTATACAAATACAAGTTGCTACTGATAAAACCACATCATGCAGTACTTATTTGAGGCTCTTATATTCATCTTGACAATCCCATAAGCATTTTTTTCTCATAGTCTGGCAGGGTCAGTTTCTACACTCAATTTATGT